GCCTCAAAGAAGTCGTGGGTCCCTTCCAGGCAGTGGATGCGCTCCTGGGGGCGGGGGGCTACAGGTCAGCCCCGGGCCCTCATCCCGTCCACCCCCTCACTGACCTGGATGGGAACAGCCCCGACCCCTCCCGAGCCAAGTGCACGTGTGTTCTAGAGGTTTCCACCCCCCACACACACACACACACCCGCCCCCGAAGGTCAAGGAGGGGCCGCAGAGCCCAGACTGCAGGGCAGGGTCCAGGAGGGGGCAGGTGGGCGGGCAGCCCCCAGGGTCACACCTGTGGGTGTCAGCCTGGGGCCCACCTGCAGCCCGAGTGTGGACGTGCTTCCAAATGACTTGCATATCACACTCAGATCCAGGAAGTCGGCACGCCCACCCCTGCTGGGACCCAGTGCTGTGGGCCCGTGCACCGTGACCGGACGGCCGTACCTGGAACACCTTGTTCTGCAGCTTGATCTTCTGGTACTTCTCTTCCTCGGGGTGCAGCCGGATGTTGTCCAGGTACCTGGGCAGGCGAGGGCGTCACCTCGACCCCCATGGAGCCCGGCCGCCCTCAGGATGCTCTTCCCTTAGCTCCCACAGCTGCAGCGGTACAAGGGCACAGCCAGCACAGCAGGCCGCGAGGGCTGTCCCCGCGGGCTCCCTGACACCTCCCCCACTCAGCCCTCCATCTCCACATCTCGGTCCCTCAAAGGAAGCCGGGTGGGGGACCCTTCCTTCCACTGAGTCCCAGAGCCCCAGCGCCTTCCCGAGGGCTCGGGTCGGCCTCCCTGCAGGGCCCCTGGGCAGGACAGCCGCGGGGGCAGGGCACGGTGGGCTCACTTGGCGATAGTGTCCACGCCCAGCTTCACCCGGTCCCGGTCTTTGTTGAACGTGTGGATCTTCATGACGGAGGCGGCCACTGGGTCCGTGGCGAAGTGCTGGGGGGAGAAGCAAGGTTGGAGCCCCGGCCGCGTGGGGACACAGGTTCCGGGCGGCCATCAGCCTCTGTGGAGGGCAGGTGCACTGGGCCAGCTGTGCTGTACGGCTCCCCACAGGGGGACGGGGGGCATCTTCAGCAACTCTGGCCCTGCCACGCCCTGCCCCCGCCCGAGGTGAAAAGGCGTCTGCAACCAACACGGGATGGGGCCGGGGCCTCGAGACTTCCTGGGACGCTGAGGCATCACCTGATGCTGCGGCTGGGGGAAAAAAGAGGCCCGCCGAGGCCTCGGCCCCGGCCCCGGCCTGAAGAGATCGGGCTCAGACAGTGGACTGGGGGTGCAGGGCCCTGCCTGCTTCTGGAGGAAGGGGAGGAGTCACGGCTGGAAGTTGGGTTCCCCAGAGTTGGGCCTAGGGCTCTGTGAACAGTGCCCCCCCGTGGGGACAGGCTGAGAGTGGCACCGAAGGAGGGAGGAGACCAGGGGCTGTGGACCACCACGTGGCCCTGAAAAGCCCTAGAAAGCCTGACCTGGCACATGGGCAGGGCCGCAGCCGCTGCCCCCAGGCCACCTGATGACCAGACAGACGGCAAGCTCGCGGGAGGTGCTTCCTAACACGGCGTGGGCACACCCAGGGTCCTGCCAGGCGGGCCTGGGGGCTGACTCCACCCTGGCACCTGCCTCCCACCACAGGGCGAGGGGCAGTCCACACCGAACCTGCTCTCCAGCCGGCTGCCGCCAGGGGGTCGCACGGCATGGGAGGCGTCCTCGGGACCCGAGCAGGCGTGGCCTCCCCAGGGACCAGCTCTGGGTCTCCGTGGGCAAGCTGTGCCCGTGCAGGTCAGGATCAGGGCACGGGGACAGGTGGGAGAACAGGGCCAGCACGTCCAGGAACCCAGAGCCACCTGCACCCAGACCTGGGCGCGCTGTCCCCACACAGGTGACGACGGCAGGGCTGCGCCTGAGCAGAGCACGGCACGTGGCACCTCCAGTCCGTGTACACGCCAAGTTCTGGGGTGCAAAGCTGCAGCGAGCCAGACAGGGCCAGCAGGGGCGCCAGGCTGACGGGTCAGCTGCCCGAGGCTCACGCCGGCCGTGTGAGTATGCACGAGCCCGCGGCTAGCCAGGTAGCGCGGTGCTTATGGCAGCTGGGTGCCACGTGGCCACGCTCACAGTTCAAGTCCTGGACCTGGCAGCTTTGGAAATCACACCAGGTCTGCGTGCACAGCCCAAATCCCAAGGGAATGGAGGGAAATGGAGCACGGTGAGGCCATCCAGCCCAGGAGGGGATGTCTCGCTTCCCCCGTCTCTCGCGTGTCCTCTAACGAAAACTACGGAGGAGGAACGGCAACAGAAAAGCAAGCTGGAGTGTAAGAGTGGGGAAGGCCTTGCAGCTGGACCCAAAACCCAGAAGCCAGAAAGCAAAACCGACACGTCTGGCTCCACCTGCGGAGTGACCACAGGCAGGCTCCAGAGAGCAAGCCCCTCGGGAGCACGCGTGCCCCTGGCAGTTACGAAGGAACGAGAGGAGTTTTATCCTGGTGCCAGAGCACAAAGTAAAATCCATGCGCAGTTTATCCCGAACAAGTATTTTCTTTTCTTTTTTAAATTTTATTGTCATTATTTTTTATATTTTATTTTTTTGAAGTTGACCAGAGAGACACAGCAAGAAAGAAGGAAAGCGAGAAAGCAAGCTGCCAGGTCCAGGACTCGAACCATGGTCAGCCACGTGGGAGTCCAGCCGCCTTAGCCACCACACCACCTGCTGGCCCCCCCCTTTTTTTCTGAATGGATTTTGCTATAGGGCATGTACACTCGTCAGAAAAAGAGAGAGACAGAAAGCGAGAAATCGCCTCCGGGGGACAGGGCCATGCCACAATCCCTTCTCCTCTATTCTCCTCTCGGGATCTTGGGCACGCACATGTGCCCACTGTGTTTAAACCGCCGGGTCTGGGATTCGAGCCACAGTCGACCACGTGGGAGTCCAGCGGCGTAACCACTATGCCATCTGGCCCCTAGCGTACTTTCTGTGAATTTCCGAAGCCCTGCACACCACCCAGCTTGAGAGTGCATGCATGTGCGGGCCACCTCACCAAGGGACCCAACTGCCAGCAGGGACCTCGGGGTGGATGGGCAGACCTCTGACTCTCGAGAGGCACCAGCCCAGTCCCGGGTGGCCTAACAACGGGATGGGGGTGCTGGGCGAGGCCAGTGTGAACCCCACAGATGCCCTTCCACGAGCCTGCACAGTGGGCCTGACAGGGTGCCCTGATGACCCATGGGAACACCGTGTCCACAGTCCCGAGTAGAAGGTCACTGCCCAGTGACTGATCGAGGTGGCCCTGGGACCCCGGAGGAGGCCTGGGTGCAGGCGGCTATCCGCTGGCGGGGGGGCGCGGCTCACCGAGAGGATGGCCTCCTTGATGTGGGCGTCCCGCTGGTCCTTCCTCAGGGTGGCCCCGGTCAGAGGGCAGGTGAAGTACACGCCTGGCACCGCCAGGTGGGCCGAGCCTTCGTCCTTGGGCTCAGGTACCTGGGCCGCAAAGGCGGGAGTCAGGACCGAGGACGGGGCCATGCGCAGCCACCGAGCCCGTCCTGGCCTGCGGGATGTCCCTGCAGGGCCACCTCCGAGGTAAGGCTGACATGGAGGAAGCTGGGCTCCTGCTAGTCCTGGCCCCCTGGTGAGAAAGATGGCTGGGTGGACATCGGGGGCACCGTGCCCCGGACAGGCCCCGGCCTTCCTCTGGGCCCCCACTTCTACACCAGCTCTACGGTCTCCTGTGCTAAAGTCAGGGAGTCCTTGTGGACTGAGATGCTTGGAACATGCTACCTCCCACAGGAAGGCCTCCCAGATCACGCCACTCCTCTGCAGGGGGTGAGGCGGGGCAGGGCAGAGCTTCGGCTCACAGTTCCAGCACTGCCCTGCCAGATCTGAGGTGCAGGACGGGGCAGCGGTCTCACCTCTCCACGACTCGAGCTTTGTCTTCTGGGGTGGGGGCACGAGAGCAGGACCCACGGCGGGAGGGGAAGGGAAAGGGCTGGAGGAGCTCCCCGGCCAGAGCAACCTCAGTGCCCGGCCTGCTGGCCAGAGGGGCTGGCCTGAAGGGCTCCGGCCACACTGCCCTCCAGGCGGGTTTCCCACCTGCCCCGGGCCTGGTGGTGGAGGCGACAGCCCGCTCTTCTGCCCCGGCCGGGCCGCCCACCGGGTGGAAATGCAGTGGCGGGTGCTCCTACCTGGCCCGTCCCCGGGGCCTCTGGCCTCCCGCTGTTGGTCGCCTCCGCCTGAAGCTCCTTTCTCACTGCAGGGGTGGGGCAGCAGAGGGTGGGCTGAGTGCGGACGGCGTGGGCCCCGGCCCGTCCCCGCGGGCCCCTGTACTCCACCCCCAGGTCTGGGTCACACGAGCGGTTCCATGTAGGGCCAACGCCGTGGCCGGGATCCGCACACACCGCCCAACTCGGCCCCC